GGTTGCTGAGAGAGTTGAAAATAAATGTCTTTTGAAGTGAACTGAGCTCTTAGTAGGTGAAATCGACTCTAAACGTGTGAACATCACCAACTCAAGAATTTGGCAGACTGATTATGAAGCGGATTATGAGAATGAGCAGATTTCAGCAGCCTTTTTAGTAAGTAAAGCATGGCATCGATACAAAAACCTTATTCGAATTCGAAGTCATATACCAAAAATAAAAACCCTTAACATAAGTGTACCATGGTGTACCTCGGTTTCATCTGTTTCACGTTGGCGGATGAGACGGATTTAAATTTATCAAAGCAGACAACCGGGGAAACCAAGCTAGTTTACGTGTGGATTACTGGCATTTTATTATCTGAACAGATCATGTGAATATTTGATACCTTCTGTGTATATCTTCAGTGCTCAAAATGTTGACATTAAACTTGTCTGCTTCATTTCTTGAGAAATAAAATAATTTGCAGAGGGTTGACGATTCGGCTTTTCAGCTGATTTCATCTTTACTGTGGAAATTTGTGTACTCAGAATTTCAGCTTTGTTGTCCACCTGCTGCCTATAAAATTTAAAACCAATTCAAATAAAAATTGGACTAATAAAGTTATTGTTACAGAAATAAAAGAAAGCAAAATGGAACAAAACCGTACAGGAATACATATCTTTTGTCAGTGGAACATTTTTGAAAAACGACAAAAATAGTGCGCCTCCAAGAGTTTTCACCGTGTTCGCCAATACGGGCGATTCACAAAAGCGCACCTGCAAGAGTTTGCAAGGCGTTGACCAATTCAAAAAATCTGTCGACCCTTTCCAAACGCGCATTTGGTCCACAGATTTCGCGCATTGTGATTGGCCAACGAGTTTGAAACTCTTGGAGGCACACTGTTGAAATTTGTCGACCCACTGCGCGTTGGGTCGACAGATTTCGCGCATTTTGAATTGCGCGTATGCGTATCAAATGTGTTTACTCGTCGATGTAAAGTTGGTTGATGTGAGGAGTCTCCTTGGAAAGTATTGTGACACAGGATTTGGTCAGCCTTGAAGGAAGGTTTTTTTTTTCAACAAACTATGTTTAGTGGTCTCGTTCGAATAATTAATAGATAGATTTTCATAAGACTCGTGATTATATTTGTTTCACTTCTCACTTTGGATAATTTTGGAGAGAAGTGTTTCATTGATTTTTTAATTAAACAGATTCTCATAGAATTCACTCATAAAATTGTAGGCATAACCCTAGTTTTGTGGTAAATTTTAAGATGAATATGTGAATATTAAAACTACTTTGATGACAGCAAGTAATATAGGCAAGTACCAATCATAGATGAAACCTCCTCTCTGACTTCTAATTAAACACAGTAATTTGGTTTTGAAACTGAAGGGCACTCACGGTGTTGTAAGATCCATTATATTAGTCTAAATCTACAGTGCCTTTTATTTATATTATTGAGTACACATTCACACCTTGCTCTGTCCGTATAACTCTCGTTCTGTTCTCATCATTTATAGCGGATGTAGCCAGCTTAACTTTGTCGCATATACAGTGTCCGATACAAATTGCCATTTTTGATAGGCCTGCTTTATTTGCTGGTCTTCTGGGTCACATATTTTTCACATCTCGAATTTGGTAGCCTTGGAACTCATGAGGAGTTAGATACAGATAGATCTTGAGCCTCTGGCTACAGTGAAAGCCATTCTAAGGGCAATTTCAAATGACGTCATCACTTACCTCCTTTCCTGTTTGTATGACGTCATTATTAACATTACAAACACTGCACTGTGACTAATTACTGAGTGTACAAAAGTACTCCGCAAAATAAACAAATGCATAGACATCAAACAAAATAATAAGCAAGGGAAGCATGACCAAACAAATCAGGTGTTACTTCTAGCTATTAAAACGAAAACATCAAATGTAAAAACTTAGGGCTGTCATTGGTCCGTGATTTGTAAAGACTGATAATTGAAGAGTCTGCTACAACTACCTGGAAGCATTTTGCTAGGCCCAATAATGGCACTGACTGNTGACTAGTTCCATAAAAATTCTCATTGTAAAAGCCTGAAGTAGCATAGCTAGAACATGGCGAACGTAAGACGCCTTCACTTTAAGAAGAGGATGCAGGCTGGCAAGACTGCATTTGCAAGAGAACTTTCTCGGTGTTATCTGTACACCAGCGGGTGAGGTCCAACACCTTGAAGGATTTATCGTCACCGCTGCATGTCTTAATCTTCACCATACCGTCGTTACTTCCTTCGGAGATAAACGTCTTCACAGCGATGAAACCGTAGTTATCCTCACAGACGCATGGTTGTGCCTATCGTAATAATAAAAAGGAACAAATTTATAAGTACGATGACATGTAATTTTCCATGTGCGGCTGTTGAAGATTTCAGAGAAGACGCATCATGCTTTGAGACACAACATTAAAATGGCAGGTATTTCAGTTCATACATTTTCTTAAAAATCGCTAGTTTACCACCACCATGGCAGAGAATCATTCAGTTGACACCATACAAAAACTTGCCATATCATGACATCTTCGTGTCAATTACGCATGACTGCTAACACCCACCTGCAGGATTATTTCTAACAGCTTGTCGGTGATCTTAACAGGAATGCTCATCTGATTGAGGGCTTTTTTCAGCTGCTTCTTGACTTTCCCCTTCAAATGTCCAGGCTCGTTTTGCTGACCGGGTCCGGCATCTGGACAGATGTCCAGAAATGGGAATGCAACTTTTGTCGTTTGTGAGTCGGTTCCCCTACCAGGCTGTATAGAAGATTAGAAACATCATGTGAAACTTTTTACGCTTTCGGAATAACGGAGTCCAATATCATCCTTAATGAAATTCGAACTTGGACCACGAGAGATGAGAGGATAGGGCTACGATTCTAGACATTTAAACGTTTCCCCTTAACCTTTCTCCCTTCCATTCAGTTTTCCATTCAACAAAACGTGACTTGGAGGTTACTTAATTGTGCATGTAAATCACATAATTTTATTTCATCTTTTTAAGCAAAAGAGAGATCATTTGTTTCTCTCCCTTGCAAGTTGTCCCCCATCCTCCCTAATCTCTGTCCTTTGGGTGATAAAGCGAGATAGCGCCAAAAGGAGCTGATGACGTGCTTGTCA